AAATAGATATACTAATATATCTGAAATAATATATGTATAATCAAAAACATACAAAAGAATCGTTCTGTAAATACAAATTTGGGTGATAAGCTTAGAATCCTTACAAATCTAGAAAAGGGGTGGGGGGGGGGGGTCTTAGCTCTCCTTCAACTTTTGTCCGGGGGAGGGAGCGAGGGGTCCTCACAGTTTCTAAGTCTCCCAGGTTCGACTCTCCTGGTGGTTGTCAACAGCTCACATACAAGGTCCGACAATTAGGTAATGAGACTGATTTTATTATGGTCAAGTTAAAAATGTCATCTATGAAGCAAAGCATGGAATCTAAAGAGGCAACATTCATCTATGATCTGGCCACTTTTCATAGCCGCTCGATAAGCAGACAACAAACAAGCCGCCATTTTGTTGACCTAGTCAGAGGTGCATTGTTACGTAATCACGGAGCTAAAAGCTAACATTAAATTCTTTTTAACTCAGAAAAAGCGCCACTGAAACAGTTGAAATGATGCAACAAGTCTATGGGGATAATTGTTTATCTCGTGCACAAATGTTCAGGTGGTATTCACGATTCAAAAGTGGTGTGGAAATTATTACTAATGCACCTAGACCTGGACGTCAAATTTCTGTTCGTAATGATGAACTTTTAATACCTGGCCAAGATGGCGGAATAAGCTGCGGCTATCACTATGCAGTTTTGATAAATTTTGTTTTAGGGGATTTCCATCAAATTATTGTTCAAACAAGGATGATCTGACGACAGGCCCAGCAAGCCGGTAGGGAATTTGTTTGTTCAAGCACCTTTGCTCAAGATTTATGGTGTATTTTGAAGAAAAAGCGCGATTACACCAGCGCTTCAAACCGCCACACACAAGACAGAGGCATGAAAGAAACACCGGCCAATATAGACAGATCCGGCACGACAGTTTTTAAGATGGCTACATGGAACATTTGTGGTATGGGGGATAAAGTGGCTGAATTGGATGAATTTATGATTAAGAGTAAAATCAAAGTTTTGGGAATTGCTGATATCAGAAGAAAAGCTCAAGGCGTCCAGAAAATTTATAAAAACTTTGTTCTGATTTGGAAAGGGACTCAACCACAAGAAACTAACAAACATGGAGTGGGTTTTATCATTGCTCCAGAAACAGCCAAATATTTACTAGATTCAGAATTCGTGTCAGAGAGAATCATAAGTATCAGACTGGCTGCAGGTAAAAGAAGAGGATCGTATATTCAAGTATATGCTCCTTGTAACGACACTTACACTGAAGAAGAAAGAACGGAATTTGTTGACCAACTTAGTGAAACCATCAGTAAAGTTACAGACACTGATGGCTTGTATGTGATGGGAGATTTCAACGGACATGTGGGAGAACGTCGACCTCCATGGTCCACATACATGGGACCATTTAGTGACAAAGAAAATAAATGTAACAACAATGGAGAACAATTACTCAATGTATGTGCAGAGCATGAACTAATTATCAGCAACACGCTATACCAACATAAGAGAAGCAAGATATTGACCTGGTATAAATGGAATAATATTAACCAAGCATCACAGATAGATTTTATTCTCACAAAAAAGAGCGACAGATGGAGAATAAAGAACTCCAGGGCCATCCCAAATGCAATAATAGACTCTGACCATAGACCTGTAGTACTTTGGCTCTATAAACCAACAAGAATTTGCATTGATAAAACACCACAGCTAATGGATCAAATAGCCATAGAGAAACTAAAAGACAAAGATGTGGCAATTCAAGTTGAGGAAACAGTTAAAAATACCTTCAGTACCCTACAGAGAGGAAATGACATAGAAGAAGAGTGGCACATTTTTAAAACTTGCATCCTGAATGTAATGACAGAAAAGTGCGGACTCCGAAAGCCAAGAAGGAACATGAAACAAACCGCATGGTGGAATGAAGAAGTTAAAATTTCTATCAAAGAAAAGAAGAAATATTTTCATCAGTGGCAGAAGTCCAAATTAGATGAGGGCTACATCAAATATAGAAAAGCAAGAGCAAAGAGCAAGAGGAAAGTAAATTCGGCGAAATCAGAATCATGGGCAAACTACGGAGAACAATTAGCAAGGCTATGCACTGATTCACCAGGTCAGTTCTACCGAATCATCAAGGCTATGATACTGAGAGAAGAAAAATTTAACCCATCAAAGATCATAAACAGCAAGGCTAAAAAACCACTCACCAAATCCCAAGATGTTAAAAGAAGATGGCAAGAATATTTTTCTGAAAAACTGAATAGTGGACCACAAGAACCAGTGTCTAATAAAATAAAATTTGGACAAGAACAAGAACCTAATATATTAGAATCTAAAGTTGAAAAGATCCTAGAGCAAAGCAAAAGAAACAAAGCGGCCGGAACAGATGGTATTAAAAAAAAAGTAAAGATCCCTTTCACGCCTTTAGGCGTATCGGGCATATGGGAAGAGCGCCCATATTTTTACAGACCATCAGCACTCGGTGGGTAATGTGGTCAGCATTACGCCGGTCGTCTTTACTTCCCAGGACAGCCCATAGTGGTACCCATTTGAGGCTGGGTCGACCTGCGACGCCCCATACCACGATAAAAATCCACGCAGCCGGCAGTGGTTTTCGATCGCGGTTCTTTGGATTACGAGTCGGACTCGCAACGCCTTAGCCACGGACGCCGCAGATGGTATTACAACAGACATAATACTTGCATGTAAGGCAACAGCAGTTAAATGGCTGACAAGAATATTCAATATGGCCTGGGAGGAAATGAAAGTTCCCGTTGACTGGCAGAGAGCAATTATAGTTCCCATATGGAATAAGAAAGGTGATAAACGAGATTGTGAAACATACAGACAGAGGTATCTCTTTACAAAGCCATGTGAAAAGATGTTTGCAAAAATATTGGAACGAATAGCGAGGGTGATATTAGAACCTCAATTAAGTAACAACCAGTTTGGATTTAGAAAAGGAAAGAGCTGCACTGACGCAATATTTACTCTTCGGCAAATTTGTGAACAGACAATCGAATATAATAAACACCAGAATCTTATATTCGTTGATCAAGAGAGGCCTTTGACAGGGTTAACAGAAATAAACTATGGAACATTCTTGAAGAATATGGTGTACCGGGTCAATTATTGGGAAACATAATGGCTCTCTATCAAAATAGCCAGAGCGCTGTAAGAACAACGGAAGGTATGACAGACTGGTTCCCCATTACATCAGGAGTACGACAAGGATGTGTCCTATCACCCCTACTCTTCATCACATATATGGATAAAATTGCACAGGAGTCAAACCAAAACACAGATATTATAAATGAACTCTCTTTGCAGATGGCCAATGTTTGTTACAAGAAGAAGAACAAAAACTACAACAACATATTGATTCATTGCTCACTGTACAAAATTTGACATGAAAATAAACACCTCAAAAACGGAAGTAATGACTATAGGAAAGAAACACAGTAACGTAAACATAAAGATCAATGATATACAATTAGACCAAGTTCAAGAATTCAAGTACTTAGGATGCATATTTACAGAAGATGGAAGACTCGACAAAGAGATACAGGCTAGAGTTCAAAAAGCCAATGCAGTCAACTACCAACTGGCCCCACTTCTTCGTCATCCAAAGATCTCATTACCAGCCAAACAACGGATGATCAACAGAATTTTCATCCCTACGTTATGTTATCAGTGCCAAACGTGGACAATGAACAAATCACATATGCAAAAAATAACTACGTGTAAAATGCGATGTCTCCGAAGAGTCACCAACAATACACGAAGAGACAGAGTCACAAAAGTCAGCATTAGAGACAAAGTTGGAACAAGAGCATGCATGGAACATATTGAAAAACAGAGAATGAAGTGGTTTGGCCATTTAGTAAGAATGCAACCGGATCAGATTGCCTATAAGGCCTTTTACAGTAGAACATCGGAAAGAAAGGCCAGAGGAAGACCCAGGAAAACATGGATAGATGGAGTAGCTGAATACGGCCAGAAGATCCAGAAAACTGTCACTCAAATCACGCGAGATTCACAAAACAAATATTTTAAACCACGACACTGGGCTGCAACCCGGTAAAAGAGAAGAAGACAATAGATAGATAGATAGAATGATGAACTCATTGCAAAAGTCAGAGAACGGATACAAGAAGAGCATTGTTTTACTGTGAGGATGACATTTTAGTGTAAGATTTTGGCAAAAAAAAACAGTTGCTTGCCGAATTCTACCACATTCGTTGTCTGATGACCAAAAACATCAGCGGGTTGAGTACAAAAGAGATATCATCCAACCTGGTATCAGTGAGACGACGAAAGAAGAAAGAATCAAAACGATTAACAGGAAGTAAAAGCCAACTGGCTTTTTGGAAGTCAAGATCACTCAGCAACAACACGAAACTTAAGGTCTTCAATTCCTGTGTGATCCTAGTGCTAACTTATGGTTGTGAGAGTTGGAAATCATCAGTATCAATCGATAAGAAACTAGTCGCTTTCGAGAATAGATGCCTCCGAAAGCTATTGAATGTTCACTGGTCGGACTTTAGGTCCAATACATCTATAAGACAGGAAACAAAACAAAAATATGTGTCTGATTTTATTAGAAAGCGTCGCTGGAATTACATCGGTCACGTACTCAGAATGGACATACAGAGACTTCCCCACCAAGCCTTCGTATGGTCACCAGAGGGTAAAAGAAAACAGGGAAGACCAAAAGAAACTCTCCGTAGAACCATCACAAGGGAGAGCTCAACCATAGGTCTCAGTCGCACTCAAGACCTACATCAAGTGGCAAAGAACCGACAGACGTGGAAAGCTATGACCTCTGCCCTATGCGCCATCTTTGGCACAAGAGGAATAACTAACTAACTAACTAAAAGCCAACTACGCTGCACACCTTTGACGTCACTATCGCCACAGTATTTCACGAAGAAAATGGTCACTTGTTGAACGCCCCGTCAATTTCTGTTCTATCAACAGTCATGTGTTGTTTCAAACAGCTAGAATGAGAAATCGTAAGTATTCTTACATTGGGACTAAACAGATCAATCCAGTGTTTATTGCTGTTTTGCTGTTGCTGTTGCCAGAACCTGCCTTCTCATTCCCAATGTTGTTCAGAAACACGATGAACTGTTCCCTCTTGTGCAGCTGTGAACACAAGCCATTAGTCAGCACGATGCAGTTGTACAACGTGAAACATTTTAAGATCATGGGGAATAAATACCGACCAGAAATCGGCTTCTTTGATACCAATTCTGAATATATGACATTTTTAGGGACTTTTGCACCTTTGTTGCATCGAATAACAGAAATCACATGCACTCTGTCAGACGGGATGTCTCATTCTGTGATGTCCTTGTTAAACGGTGTTGATCAGATTATGGACACCGCCCTGAGTGTCAGCTGTCGGAAGAATGAACGCGTGGTCTGGGACGTGCCATCCTGGCTGACTTCGTTCAATATATTTGTTGCTGAAAACTGTCTAATTGTCCCCAACGCTGATCGCAAGCTTATCGTCATTCCAATGAATACGTGGATCTTGGATGTGGACAACGTTGGTGATCAAACTCTTGGCTTGTTGGACATCAGATTCTCAATGAACACGTTAACTTTGGCCATCTCAGGGTCCAAACTCTCAACCACCCCCAGACAATGGCAAGGTATCGACATGGTTTCAATGGCTGTTATCAGTCTCCGAAATAATGGCTTAGAAGAATTCAATTGTCCTTTTCACTTTACTAAGAGGCTGGACACGCTAAACCTGGACGGAAACAAAATAGCCCACTTTCCGGAATGCCTGCTAAGGTCATTCAGAATTAGGCTGAACTACTTATCTCTAGCAAACAATGCCATTTCTGATCTGGCTCCGTTGTACGAGATACCGGAAGCTTGGGACATTCCGGATATTTCTGTGATCAATCTTAGCTTTAACCAGATCAGGAGTGTGGATGCAATTCGCAACATGGCTAACCTTGTTGTGCTGGATCTGAGCCACAACCACATCAAATACATCACAGAGGACGCTTTCGATTACTTAACCTCTCTGGAGGTCATCTATGTCAGTCACAACAGCATCCACGTCATTGGAGCCCAGCAGTTCAAGAACAACTACAAGCTTAGCATCATCGACATCAGTGACAATTTTCTGCCCGTTATCTTACCCGAGCAGCTTCCGATGGATTCATCTTCTCTTCTCTTGGATGTTCGCCAGAATAAGTTAACCTACCCACCATATGTAGACTGTGCTAAAGGTAAACTTAATATTTTCAATATGAAAATATACTCCTCTGGGAACCCATACATTTGTGACTGCTATATGATTCATTTCGAGAGGTGCCAAAGTTGGATCAGTAAAAACAGTCCCAGTCAGCAGAAGGACTTCAATGTGTTCAAAGACTTGATGGATATGTTATGTGATACTCCCGAAGAGACCAAAGATGTGGCGTTGCCGAATATATCTTTCCATTCCAAGTGTTACATGATGGAGGAGTGTCCAGAAACGTGCAAGTGTTTGCTGCTCAACGTACAGGTTCTGGTAGTGAACTGCTCCGCCAGACGCATGTTGGACATGCCCGACCACTTGCCAACGTACCCTAAAACCACTGTGGTGCTTTACCTCGACCATAATCCATTGCAGATATTAGGTCATCGGCCTTACCTTCGCACCCTGTCGGAGCTGTACGTCCACAACTGTTTACTGACCTCGGTGACCCCAGCTGCCATGGCGTCGCTGCGAGATGTTCAAGTCTTGACTTTGCACAACAACATGATACAGAAACTGCCATCAAGAACGCGCAATATCACCCTGAATCAGGTCAAGAACCTAACCCTACACAACAACCCCTGGGCTTGCTCTTGCGACAGTCTCTGGATGCCTCAATGGATCGCCAGACATAAATCCTCGCTCTGGATGCCGGGAAGCATCACGTGTCACTATCTTCGAAAACCAGTACAGGATCTCACGGAGTTGGATTTGAACTGCAACTCGTCCTCGTACATAGATACCTTTCTTGCGATAAGCCTGACCCTGTCTTCTCTCGTTTCCACACTTGTCATCGTCATCTGCTACCGTTCTGAGATCACAGTACTGCTCTACTCAAAACTTGGTTTCCCTCTAGGTTGTGGCTTCTCTTGCGGAGACCTTTTCAACCCCTACGATGCCTTCATCTCCTACAGCCAGGACACTTACAACTGGGTCATGGACACGTTGGTGCCTCAGCTTGAGAACGGATCCAAAAAGTACCGACTTTGCCTCCATTATCGAGATTTTCCCACAGGGGATTCTATTGTGGACAGTTTACCCTGGTCCATTCGCATGAGTCGCGTCGCCATTTTGGTCCTCAGTAAAGACGTCATGAGAAAAGAATGGTGCATCTTGGAAGTTCGGGCGGCGTTTCAGCGAATGCTTCTTGCGGCCAATCGACTTGTCATCGTTGCCATGGACTACATCAACACGGACGAGCTTCCTCCGGACATGCGGACGTACATGAACACGCACGACTATCTCAGGTATGAAGATCCCTGCTTCTGGGAGAAACTGGAGCTGCTGCTACCCCCAAAAGAACAGAGGGAGTTGACTGAGAGTGACGACGCCATGCCAAGGAACAGGAGCAGAGAAAGCTTTCATCAGAGCACTCCCGACAAACACGAGATGACGGGGCTTTCCGATCTGACAGATCTGTCCTTCAAACTGTCGGAGATTTCCGAGCATGGCGACTACTGAAGTTATCTGTCTACAGACGGGCGTTTGTCTGAGGACAAGAGATGCCAGATCTACTTTTGGAATGAATGGATGAATTAGTAAATTATTGGATGGATGGATAGATGTATGGATAGATGGATGAATAGATGGAATAATAGATAGATGTATGGATATATGGATGGATACATGGATGGATGGATACATGGATGAATAGATAGATAGATAGATAGATAGATAGATAGATAGATAGATAGATAGATAGATAGATAGATAGATAGATAGATAGATAGATAGATAGATAGATAGATAGATAGATAGATAGATAGATAGATAGATAGATAGATAGATAGATAGATAGATAGATAGATAGATAGATAGATAGATAGATAGATAGATAGATGGAAAAATGCGTGAACTGAATAATGCACTGGGTGAATGGAAACGCAAATGACAGGATATATTGAAGAACGAATACGTCATTAGGAGGATACAGTGATGGATGACTGAATGCATGGATGGATGACTGAATGCATGGATGGATGACTGAATGCATGGATGGATTAGATCGATTTTATTAGGCTTTAGGATATTTTTCAAATTAGGCAAACTAGTATGAGGTTGTTTATAAGGTTTATGCTGGCGTACTCAGTCTCTCCACTCATGTAGCTGGTGTACTTACTCTCCCCAGTCATATAGCTGGTATACCTAATCTCTAGAGTCATGTAGCTGATATACCTAATCTCTCCAGTCATGTAGCTGATATACCTAATCTCTACAGTCATGTAGCTGATATACCTAATCTCTCCAGTCATGTAGTTGATATACCTAATCTCTCTAGTCATGTAGCTGATATACCTAATCTCTCCAGTCATGTAGCTGATATACCTAATCTCTCCAGTCATGTAGCTGATATACCTAATCTGTTCAGTCATGTAGCTGATATACCTAATCTCTCCAGTCATGTAGCTGATATACCTAATCTCTCTAGTCATGTAGCTAATATACCTAATCTCTCCAGTCATGTAGCTGATATACCTAATCTCTCCAGTCATGTAGTTGATATACCTAATCTCTCTAGTCATGTAGCTGATATACCTAATCTCTCTAGTCATGTAGCAATCTCTCTAGTCATGTAGCTGATATACCTAATCTCTCCAGTCATGTAGCTGATATACCTAATCTCTCCAGTCATGTAGCTGATATACCTAATCTCTCCAGTCATGTAGTTGATATACCTAATCTCTCTAGTCATGTAGCTGATATACCTAATCTCTCTAGTCATGTAGCTGATATACCTAATCTCTCCAGTCATGTAGCTGATATACCTAATCTCTCCAGTCATGTAGCTGATATACTTAATCTCTCCAGTCATGTAGCTGATATACCTAATCTCTCCAGTCATGTAGCTGATATACCTAATCTCTCCAGTCATGTAGCTGGTTTACCTAATCTCTCCAGTCATGTAGCTGATATACCTAATCTCTCTAGTCATGTAGCTGATTTACCTAATCTCTCCAGTCATGTAGCTGATATACCTAATCTCTCCAGTCATGTAGCTGATATACCTAATCTCTCCAGTCATGTAGCTGATATACCTAATCTGTTCAGTCATGTAGCTGATATACCTAATCTCTAGAGTCATGTAGCTGATATACCTAATCTCTAGAGTCATGTAGCTGGTATACCTAATCTCCCCAGTCATGTAGCTGGTTTACCTAATCTCTCTAGTCATGTAGCTGATATACCTAATCTCTCCAGTCATGTAGCTGATATACCTAATCTGTTCAGTCATGTAGCTGATATACCTAATCTCTAGAGTCATGTAGCTGATATACCTAATCTCTAGAGTCATGTAGCTGATATACCTAATCTCTCCAGTCATGTAGCTGATATACCTAATCTGTTCAGTCATGTAGCCGATATACCTAATCTCTCTAGTCATGTAGCTGATATACCTAATCTGTTCAGTCATGTAGCTGATATACCTAATCTCTACAGTCATGTAGCTGATATACCTAATCTCTCTAGTCATGTAGCTGATATAACTAATCTCTCCAGTCATGTAGCTGATATACCTAATCTCTCCAGTCACATAGCTGATATACCTAATCTCTCTAGTCATGTAGCTGATATACCTAATCTCTCCAGTCATGTAGCTGATATACCTAATCTCTCTAGTCATGTAGCTGATATACCTAATCTCTGCAGTCATGTAGCTGATATACCTAAACTCTCCAGTCATGTAGCTGATATACCTAATCTCTTCAGTCATGTAGCTGATATAGCTAATCTCTCCAGTCATGTAGCTGGTATAGCTAATCTCTACAGTCATGTAGCTGATATACCTAATCTCTCCAGTCATGTAGCTGATATACCTAATCTCTCCAGTCATGTAGCTGATATACCTAATCTCTCCAGTCATGTAGCTGATATACCTAATCTCTCCAGTCATGTAGCTGATATTCCTCAACTCTCCAGTCATGTAGCTGATATACCTAATCTCTCCAGTCATGTAGCTGATATAGCTAATCTCTCCAGTCATGTAGCTGATATACCTAATCTCTCCAGTCATGTAGCTGATATAACTAATCTCTCCAGTCATGTAGCTGATATACCTAATCTCTCCAGTCATGTAGCTGATATACCTAATCTCTGCAGTCATGTAGCTGATATACCTCATCTCTCCAGTCATGTAGCTGATATAACTCATCTCTCCAGTCATGTAGTTGATATAACTCATCTCTCCAGTCATGTAGCTGATATAACTCATCTCTCCAGTCATGTAGCTGATATAACTCATCTCTCCAGTCATGTAGCTGATATACCTAATCTCTCTAGTCATGTAGCTGATATAACTCATCTCTCCAGTCATGTAGCTGATATAACTCATCTCTCCAGTCATTTAGCTGATATACCTAATCTCTCCAGTCATGTAGCTGATATACCTCATCTCTCCAGTCATGTAGCTGATATACCTAATCTCTCCAGTCATGTAGCTGATATACCTCATCTCTCTAGTCATGTAGCTGGTATACCTAATCTCTCTAGTCATGTAGCTGATATACCTAATCTCTCCAGTCATGTAGCTGATATACCTAATCTCTCCAGTCATGTAGCTGATATACCTAATCTCTCCAGTCATGTAGCTGATATACCTCATCTCTCTAGTCATGTAGCTGATATACCTCATCTCTCTAGTCATGTAGCTGGTATACCTAATCTCTCTAGTCATGTAGCTGATATACCTAATCTCTCTAGTCATGTAGCTGATATACCTAATCTCTCCAGTCATGTAGCTGATATACCTAATCTCTCCAGTCATGTAGCTGATATACCTCATCTCTCTAGTCATGTAGCTGATATACCTAATCTCTCCAGTCATGTAGCTGATATACCTAATCTCTCCAGTCATGTAGCTGATATACCTAATCTCTCCAGTCATGTAGCTGGTATATTCAGTCTTGTCTAATCAAGTAGCTAGTCTACTTGCTAGTCCTGTGGGTGCCGCATTCGCCTCGCTGGCTGTCAGTTGAGCAGCCCTATTATAATCCACTATCATCATTCCTGTTGTAGTTATTATTATTGTCATCGTCATTATTTTTGTCAGCATCATTACTATTATCATCACCATTATCCTGTGGTGCCATCATACGTGACCTACGACTGGCAGTCTAGTTCTCGATGTGGTTTTATCGCAAGCAACCATGTCACTGTCTGGACAGACACACCCCCGTACCGTTTGCTTTTCCCAGCCACGGTGCTTTTTCTGTTTCTCTTAGACGTCCTCGTTACTTAAGTCCTTTTTTGTTTCCCATTTCAGTACATCTTTGGTGATTCTCTGTTCACTTTTGCTCATTGTGTGCCCCAAATAATAACAGCTTCTTTGTCTTATTTACACTTATCGATACCAGTGGTTGTTTCGTTAATATCTTATTTCTTCACCGTTTCAAAATTCATCTCATTTAATGTTTATTCAAGATTCTCAGGTATTTTTTTCTAAATGGATTTAATTTTCATTGCATGTCTTTAGTGTGTTTTAAACTTTCCTAGCAGATGTTAGGCATTCTGATGCAAACATTAATTTATTACATTCAACACTTTTTGAGATAGAATAAGGGAGACAATATCTTCTTGACACTAAAACATCCTGTCTTTAAATACGGAAGTGAAACTGTTGGTAGATTAGTGAACAATTATTTAGATGGGGGTTTAGAGATGAATGATGAGAATAACCTGGACAGATAGAAATGTGACTTGAAAGAAAGTAACTCACGAGGAGAACTGATTCCTAACATCAGAAATAGACAATCTGCATTCTTTTTTTTATGTGATGAGAAGGAGAAAACTGGAGTACGTAGTGACGGCAGGAAATTAGGAGGGAATGAAGGAGAGAGAGAGAGGAGAGAGAGAGAGAGAGAGAGAGAGAGAGAGAGAGAGAGAGAGAGAGAGAGAGAGAACAGATGCTGGACAGTTTGACATTATGGCATGTAAATCAACAGTGTCAGAGTTGGCTGAAACTACACGAGGCAGAAAGTTGTAGACAGTCATGACAACCAACGTTACACGGAAAGGACTTTCAGAAGATTATAAGAGTCAAGACACCAGGTCGACCTTTGAGTTATGTGGTTATGAAACGATTTCGCCGTCAGAGAGTATTGAAATTATGATTACCACTCCTCCTCCTCTTCTTCTTGTCGTTCTCCATGTCAGTGATTATCGGATGAGAAGTTCGCTGGCTTCTCTATAAAGTCTGTGTTGTGACACATGTCATCCACTGTTCCATACAGCTTGGTTTAGTTTCCATTGGAATGCCAGCTTGACAAACCTGGGATCTGTCTTCTGCTTGTAGCCAGCTTGTCTGTAGGACATGTTCAGTATCCTGTGGTGCTGGTTCACATGGGTACAGTTGCGAATTTCCAGTCTTGGATTTTTTGTTCACATGGATGCAGAGTCTGTAGTGTCCAGTACGCAGTCTAAATACACCGGTCTGTTTCCTTCGTGTGAGGAGGTTGACTGGATCT